ACTTTTTGATTGGTCCAGCGGATGCTGAGCTAAACTAGAAAACAAATTCGGAAACATTTTCGAAAAATTAAATTTGCGAGATAATCGTTCGGGAATACCACCAATAAAATAGGGAAAAAGTTTCGAACAAAAAATGTATGGCGCACTTTTTGATTGGTCCAGCGGATGCTGAGCTAAACTAGAAAACAAATTCGGAAAAATTATCGTAAAATTAAATTTGCGAGATAATCGCTCCGGAATACCACCAATAAAATAGGGAAAAAGTTTCGAACAAAAAATGTATAGCGCACTTTTTGATTGGTCCAGCGGATGCTGAGCTAAACTAGAAAACAAATTCGAAAACTTTTTCGAAAAATTAAATTTGCGAGATAATCGTTCGGAAATACCACCAATAAAATAGGGAAAAAGTTTCGAACAAAAAATGTATGGCGCACTTTTTGATTGTTCCAGCGGATGCTGAGCTAAACTAGAAAACAAATTCGGAAAAATTATCGAAAAATTAAATTTGCGAGATAATCGTTCGGGAATACCGCCAAATTCTTAAGCAAAAAGTAGCGAACACAAAATGTATAGCGCACTTTTTGATTGGTGCAGCGGATGCTGAGCTAAACTAGAAAACAAATTCGGAAACATTTTCGAAAAATTAAATTTGCGAGATAATCGCTCCGGAATACCACCAATAAAATAGGGAAAAAGTAGCGAACAAAAAATGTATGGCAAACTTTTTGATTGGTCCAGCGGATGCTGAGCTAAACTAGAAAACAAATTCGGCAACATTTTCGAAAAATTAAATTTGCGAGATAATCGTTCGGGAATACCGCCAAATTCTATAGCAAAAAGTAGCGAACAAAAAATCTATGGCGCACTTTTTGATTGGTCCAGCGGATGTTGAGCTAAACTAGAAAACAAATTCGGAAAAATTATCGAAAAATTAAATTTGCGAGATAATCGCTCCGGAATACCACCAATAAAATAGGGAAAAAGTTTCGAACAAAAAATGTATAACGCACTTTTTGATTGGTCCAGCGGATGCTGAGCTAAACTAAAAAAAAAATTCGAAAACATTTTCGAAAAATTAAATTTGCGAGATAATCGTTCGGGAATACCACCAATAAAATAGGGAAAAAGTTTCGAACAAAAAATGTATGGCGCACTTTTTGATAGGTCCAGCGGATGCTGATCTAAACTAGAAAACAAATTCGGAAACATTTTCGAAAAATTAAATTTGCGAGATAATCGATCCGGAATTTTTGATTGCACTTTTTGATTGGTCCAGCGGATGCTGAGCTAAACTAGAAAACAAATTCGGAAACATTTTCGAAAAATTAAATTTGCGAGATAATCGCTCCGGAATACCACCAATAAAATAGGGAAAAAGTAGCGAACAAAAAATGTATGGCAAACTTTTTGATTGGTCCAGCGGATGCTGAGCTAAACTAGAAAACAAATTCGGCAACATTTTCGAAAAATTAAATTTGCGAGATAATCGTTCGGGAATACCGCCAAATTCTATAGCAAAAAGTAGCGAACAAAAAATCTATGGCGCACTTTTTGATTGGTCCAGCGGATGTTGAGCTAAACTAGAAAACAAATTCGGAAAAATTATCGAAAAATTAAATTTGCGAGATAATCGCTCCGGAATACCACCAATAAAATAGGGAAAAAGTTTCGAACAAAAAATGTATAACGCACTTTTTGATTGGTCCAGCGGATGCTGAGCTAAACTAAAAAAAAAATTCGAAAACATTTTCGAAAAATTAAATTTGCGAGATAATCGTTCGGGAATACCACCAATAAAATAGGGAAAAAGTTTCGAACAAAAAATGTATGGCGCACTTTTTGATAGGTCCAGCGGATGCTGATCTAAACTAGAAAACAAATTCGGAAACATTTTCGAAAAATTAAATTTGCGAGATAATCGATCCGGAATTTTTGATTGCACTTTTTGATTGGTCCAGCGGATGCTGAGCTAAACTAGAAAACAAATTCGGAAACATTTTCGAAAAATTAAATTTGCGAGATAATCGTTCGGGAATACCACCAATAAAATAGGGAAAAAGTTTCGAACAAAAAATGTATGGCGCACTTTTTGATTGGTCCAGCGGATGCTGAGCTTAACTAGATAACAAATTCGGAAAAATTATCGAAAAATTAAATTTGCGAGATAATCGTTCGGGAATACCACCAATAAAATAGGGAAAAAGTTTCGAACAAAAAATGTATGGCGCACTTTTTGATTGGTCCAGCGGATGCTGAGCTAAACTAGAAAACAAATTCGGAAACATTTTCGAAAAATTAAATTTGCGAGATAATCGATCCGGAATTTTTGATTGCACTTTTTGATTGGTCCAGCGGATGCTGAGCTAAACTAGAAAACAAATTCGGAAACATTTTCGAAAAATTAAATTTGCGAGATAATCGATCCGGAATACCACCAATGAAATAGGGAAAAAGTTTCGAACGATTTTTTGAGTGTAGCTCAGCATCTGCTGGACCAATCAAGAAGTGCGTCATACATTTTTAGTTCAAAACTTTTTTCTTATATTATTAATGATATTCCGGAACGATTATCTAGCAAATTTTATTTTTTCAATTTTGTTGTCTAGTGTATCTCAGCATCCCCTGGACCAATTAAAGAGTGCAACATATATTTTTTGTAGACAACTTTCGGGTTAAGACTTTGGTGTTATGCCAGAATGATTATCCTGTCAAGATGGCTGGAATTAAAAAGAATTAAAGAAATCAATTCCATTTAATACCTGATGTTTATGTTATTTCGTAATTCTTTGTAAGTAATAGACATCATCAAACTTAAATCCCTTTTAATTCCGTTTTTGTAACTTGCAATATGAAATAGAATATATTTGAATGAATTAAATACGTGTTATTAATAATTTATTTATTGATAAAACCTAAAAAATGTTGAGACAATATATGTTCAATTTTTGTTGCCTCAAGTTTAAATTTATTAAACTTTTTAGTTTTTATTAACATCATATTCACTGTAAATTATTTATTATTTTTACATTGAACAGAAAAAACACAGCAAATTTATTCACTATTACTTATAAATAAAATCATGAGCAAATTATTTTCGATGCACAAAAATATTATGTACAATTGTCATTATAATAGAAAGCACACTTACCGATTTTTACGTAATGCAAAACGAATTTTAGAATTAAGTGTAATTGATTTCGTTGTCCGTCTATCTTATTTCGATGATTTTAAAAAAGTGGAAAAGTCAGGTATTAAATGGAATTAAAATTTTTAAATTTCGTATATGATTATGAGATAACTTTAATTTTTTTCTATTCCAGAGTTCTTGCCGGGATGTCAAAGAATTCAAAAAATCACAAAATTTATTTAAACTTATAAAATAATACATTTTTTTTATCAATATTTTAGTTTAACAAATATAAGATTTGCTTTTGATAAAAAAATTACTGGAATTATTTAAGGAAAGGAAAAAAAATGACACTGAAGTTACCAACGTTGAATTGACGAAAAGAATTTTCTTTTTCCTAAGATTGAATATTTCCCCGCCTTAATTGAGGATTTTTAGTATTTAAAGATGTATTCGGGACCAAAATAAAGAAGTTTCAATTTAAAAAAATTGGTTCTTGGCCTTTAAACTAATCTGAAAACGAAAAATTCGTTCGTCGATTCGTCGAATCAACGTTGGTCTGCCCTACAACGGAAAAAGATACATAAGCCACAAATAGGTCGAACGGAGATATTTGAGAAAAACCATTTGCATCAAAAACTTCATTTAGAATTCATTTTTTATGAATAAAAATATCCCTAATGGGGTAAATCGGATGTGCTCTTTCTATTTTTGCAAAAAAAATTAATTATTTAAACAATCCCTTTTAAAAAATGCACTTGCGTAGTTTTTTTAGTGCAAATACAACGTAAAAAGAACACAAAGTCGCTTGTGGTGTTTTTCGTTGTAAAGTCATCGAGTGGATCAAAGATGTCCAGCGAAGAATATACATAAGGGACAAGAGAGTATGGGATTAGAGTATGGCACTTGTGTATAGTCTCCACTGGACATCTTTGCTCCGCTCGATTATTTTACAAGCTAAGAAATACACAAGCGCGCTTGCGAATATCGTTCTGTAAACGAAGCCGAGCTCGGGCGCTTTTGCAACGGAAAAAGATCATAAGCTACCTCGCGTATATTCTTCCATTGTATTTTGTGACGTATTTCATGCCTCCTACAGAATTTAGGCAACGCAAAGTACCTCATGTGTCTTTTTCCGTTGTATTTTCTCATTTTTCGCGAATTGCAATATTTTCAATCTTAATTTTTTATTATAAATAATTAAAATTTTCAGTTTTAATTACGATAGTCAGATGCAGCTTTTTATTACGAATCCATTGATACCAAAAACTCATTTTTGACCAAAATGTCACTTATGTATCTTTTTCCGTTGTAGGGCAGTGGTAACTTCAGCGTCATAAAAAAAAGTGCTGCCACGTGCCTTCTAAAGAGCACGGCTTTATTGATTTTATCAACAAATGTTCATAATAAACTGTAATATATTGTAATTAATAAAAACATTAAATTTTTATAATTATTTAACAATAATCATCATAAAAAACATAAATCTTATTGTTTCAATCCTTTAACTATATATTTTATCATTTTTTATATATTTGAGACAAAATTGCAATCTCAACCTCGTGTTCCACGAATGCTCCGCCAATTTCGTGGAGCATTCGCATCATATAATCCGACAGGGCCACTGAAAAAAAAATTCTGGTTAGGCTATATTTAACATTACTTTCTAGTTAAGTTAACCAGAATTCTAATTGCATTAACTAGAATTCTTGTTAAAATAATCAGAATTCAGGTTAGCCTAACCATAATTAGAATTTTAATTATATCCTAACCAGAATTCTAGTTGGAATAACCAGAATTCTAGTTATTCTAACTAGAATATTTTTTCAGTTTATATAAATAATATATAATATCAAAATTTCTTTTTAGATGTATGTAATTTTTTCAAAAATTCAAAATGATTGGGAAACGTTAACATCAAAACATGAAGTCTTTGTTTTAAAGAAATATGCAAATAGATGCAGATTATATAATATTGTTTGCTTTGGTAAATTCATTGTGAAATATTTAATTATTTTCGGGAAATAATTACAAAAAATTTAATATATGCCTCTTTTCAGGTGGATTTTTTGGAAATATGACAATTTACTTGTTTACACGTTCTATTGTGTTACTAATTGATTCGTTTAAAGATAACAACATAACTAGACCGGTTTTAGTTATTGTTGACTTTGGTTTAGATAAAGAAAAATATTATTATTTAATACTATTAACTCTTCATTTGGTTGCTTACTTATGTGCTACTTTGACTGTAAATGGAGCTATGATTTTGTCAATGCTACTTGAACATGCTTGTGGAATGTTTGAAATTATTGGGTACGTTAAATGTTTTACCAAGTTTAAAATTTTGGGAAAAAAACATCAATCGCATTCATCTAGAAATTCAATAAATGTTACAGAACTAAAAATATTTCCTTGTATAAATCTTCGAGTTTTAAAGCGAATGTTCTGAAGATTTGATTTGTGCCGTAGGACACATACGAGGTGGGGATTATGATAACAGTGTCACTTAGACTTTGCTTCTCACTATCCTCCTGGACTTCTTTTTCTTGAATGCGATTGATTAATTGTCTCTTTCAACTAGTTTTGTATAAAACTACAAATTAATTCTATACAGGCATAAAATGACAACTGCTCTTAATGAAAATCAAGATCACAATAATAAATTCAGTTCAAAAAATAATCTTCAGCAAGAAATAATAATTTGTGTGAAAATGCATAAAAAAGTCCTATTGTTTGTATAAGACAATTTTTATCTAAAATTTATTTAATTAAAGCTATGAATTGGAGAACAGCATTGACGCTCGAATTTATAATTGAAGCTCCCGATTCAAGAACCGGTCGGACGCACCTTCTAAAATTTGTCAAATGCACAAAAATATCGATAAAATTAAAAGTCAAAATTTTGATTCTTGTTTTCTAGAAAGTAGTATATTTTAAATATAAAAATATTTGACATTTTTGTGCAGTGCTGGATTTGAGAAACTACCGGTTCTTGGATCGGGAGTCTCAATTACAGCTGAAAAATAAATATATCTGATAACATCTACTTTTAAAAGACAAAAAAAAATTAGAAGTAATAAAATAAAAATAAATGTAACTTATTATACGCGTGGAAAAATCTAGTCTGTTCTACAATCCATAATCAATTAATTAATCATTTTTATATTTATATTATTTTATTTATATTTATGGGACATTCCACGTCAAGCACGGATAGAGCCATAAACAAAAACAGTTTTTAACGTCGCTGATTATGAATTAAAATTTTTTTTTTCAAACATTCAAAATTTCCAAAAAATTTGAAGAATTGTTTTTTTGCCGAAAACATATTATTCGACACTTTTTGAGGTCGCTGATGACAAATCTGAAGTTACTTTTTAGAAATTCAAAATGTCGGATACAAAATGGCAGACGAAAATTTTTTTAATTTATCCGATTCGTTAAAAATTTCTTACCTATATATTTTTGGGGTCTCTGACAACGAATCTGATATCTGTTTTCAAAATTTCAAAATGACGGATTCAATATGGTGGATAAAATTTTGTAAATTTCATCCGATTTGGTTAAAACTTGTTATTCTGGAGTTTTTTGGGGTTGCTGACAGTGAATCTGATCCCAGTTTTTAAAAATTCAAAATAGCTGATACAATATGGCTGAATTCTATAAATTCTAAAAAATTTTTCCGCCATATTGAATCAGCCTTTTGAATTTCTGAAAACTGATATCAGATTCGTTGTCAGCGACTCCAATAACCCCTAGTGAAGAATTTTTTAACGAATCGGATAAATTAAAAAAAATTTTCCTCCGCCATTTTGGATCCGCCATTTTTAATTTTTGAAAAAAAATTTAGATTTCTAAGGAATGTCCCTTATTAATTTTATTTTATATTTTTATATTAATTTAAATATTATGCTATACGAGGTTTGTCGATGATATCCACAAGCTCTATTCAACTGCATATTTTTTAATATTTGGACTCTGTATACTTGATTTAAGCATCACTGGAGTTCAGGTAAATTTATTTATTTTTTTTTTATTAAATTTTTGACAAACAACATAACACCAGTTATATGGCTTTAATTTTTAATTATTGTTTAGACTGTGATGTTTATAAATAATGCCAGGGAAGCTGCAAGATTTGGATTTCACACATTTTCTCAAGCATTTCATCTTTTTCTTTTAACTATTCCAACTCAACATTTACTGGATGTTAGCCTTTGCATTTCTGACTGCATGTACAATTTTTTTTTTTTATTAATTTCTTTTGTCATATTTTTTAAAATAATAATCGTTGTGTTAAAATAAAATAAGTTTTTAAAATAACAGTATAGGTATTATACGATATTAAATCATAATTGATTTAGATACTGTGCAAATTGGTTTCAACTGTCAATCGCAAATAAAAAATCGTTACTTATCATAATGAAAAGAGCGGCTGAACCTACAAAATTGATTGTTGGAGGGGTATTTACAGTTTCTTTAGAGTTTTTTAAAAAGGTATAAAAATTTCAGTAATTGAATCGATTTAGACTTTTTTTTATCAGTTTTTTGTTATTATGGATAGTTATAGGGTCATTTGGGGTAAATGGGGACAAGAGGTATCGAAGCTTAATTTACAGTTTTAAAATTAAGTTCAACGTCAATATTGTAATCTCATATCACCTACAAAAGGTTCTGAGTATTGCCAAGTTTTTATCTTGACAAAATTAGCAGCAAGATAATTCAAGTTAATGCTCAATGCATAAAAACTTGAAAATCAAAGTCTGTTTCAGTATTTTGTCTCGCATTTCAATGAAAACAGACTTAAAAATCATACCAAATTTTTTTCTTATTCCTTATGACTCCTATCACAGAAATTCACTTGAATTTTTGATTTTTGTCAGCTCGGTTAATAATAACAAGCTGTCCCCATTTACCCCAAATTTTATGAAATTTTCTAAATCTTGGGGTAAATGGGGACAGTTAGTTTCATGCGTTTAAAGTTTATCCAAAATTTTTTCTGCTGCATAAAATTAACTCTGGGAATGTAAATAACAACTTTAAAAAAATAAATCCGCAAATATTATCTTTTAAAGGATGAAACTTACATAATTTGTGAAAAATAGGAATTTTGTCCCCATTTACCCCAATTGATCCTACTCTATTTTTTTTACTTATATTTAAATACTTGCACAGAAAATTAAAAGGCATTAAAATAAGCTGCAACGCTTCTTATTTTAATCCAATTTTGCTTATTTTAATACCAAAATGGATTAAAATAAGCAAAATTGGATTAAAATAAGAAGCGTTGCAGCTTATTTTAATGCCTTTTAATTTTCTGTGTGTAGGTTATCTCAACATCAATATCTTACTTCACTGTATTTTTGGCTGTACGAAAATAAACTGCGGGATTTTTATTGTTATATTATGGGACATTTATTTTATTATTCATTTCTAAATGTTTAAAGCTAGATGAAGTATTTTTAAAGCTTAAATGTAGTAAAAAATAATTACTATCACCAATATTTTTGTAGTATCACGTAGTTAATAAATTTCAATTTTTTTGAATTATCATAAAAGCAATATTTTTTATTTCCGTATTTCTACACCCAGAGAAAAGATTTCTTTGATTTAAAAAAGCCAGTTTCTTTGATTATTTTAAACCAAAGATAATTTGTTTGAAACAAATAAATTTTCTTTGAATCAAAGCAAAATGTGTCAAAGAAATTTATATCTTTGAATCAAAGAAATCTTTTTTCTAGTATCCGACGGTTTTCCCGAAAACATTTTCCTGATACCCTTTTTCCCGATTATATTTTCCTGACACCCTTTTCCCGACAATGTTTATATATAGATATGTAAATCACTTCAAGGTGTGAAGTTTGTTGTTCAACTGTTTAGAGGGGAAGTCTACTGACAAGGGAAAAAACAGGCCGATTTTCCGGATTTTTTTTCTAACAAAAATCTCTTCGTCATAAAAAGGCGAACAAAAAATGTATGGCGCACTTTTTGATTGGTCCAGCGGATGCTGAGCTACACTAGAAAGCAAATTCGGAAAAATTTTCGAAAAAATAAATTTGCAAGTTAATCGATTCGGAATAACACCAAAACAGTTAGAAGAAAGTTCTGAACAAAAAATGTATGGCGCACTTTATGATTGGTCCGGAGGATGCTGAGTTTTCTTTATTCATTGAATGTACTGAATTATAATTTTAATCTACGTTTATGTATTTTATTATTTATGTTATTTAATTATTTAATTAATTTATTGAAATTTCATAAAAATAAATGTCTCAGCTGAAGCTGAGAAAATGAAAACTCAGTTGAAACGCATAGGTGCTAAATATCCTGAACTACGATACAAGTAGGGAAATGACCCCTATTACCACCGTTCAGAAAACCACGGTTCAAAAATTTGAGATAAAAACGTTCGGCAAAACCGTTAAAGTGTTAAGAAGCTGGTCCTGATCAAAAAATGTATGGTGCACTTTTTGATTGTAAACAGCATTTTTGCCATAAGGGTGGTAATAGGTGTTTTCCTCTACTCGGATCGGGCTGTCAATATTTTTCTACACTTTTAGGTGTATTTTACGCAAGAAATTGCGATAAAATAGTTTGTCTAAGAAAAAATTAATTTTTTTCAAAATTTTTTTATGACGATAAACGCTTTAAACCTCATAATAGGAGTCTTCCTCTACTCGGATCGGACTGTCAATTTTTTTCTACACTTTTCGGTGTATTTTGTGCATGAATATGCAATAAAATCTTCTGCCTAAAAAAAATTGCATTTTTTTGGTACGTTTTTTATGCTTTTGGATGCGTTTTTGGTCATAAAAAAGGTCTTCCTCTACTCGGATCAGGGTGTCATTTTTTTTCTACACTTTTCGGTGTATTTTACGCAAGAAATTGCAATAAAATCGTCTGCCTAAGAAAAATTGAATTTTTTTGGTACGTTTTTTATGCTTTTGGATGCGTTTTTGGTCATAAAAAAGGTCTTCCTCTACTCGGATCAGGGTGTCATTTTTTTTCTACACTTTTCGGTGTATTTTACGCAAGAAATTGCAATAAAATCGTCTGCCTAAGAAAAATTGAATTTTTTTGGTACGTTTTTTATGCTTTTGGATGCGTTTTTGGTCATAAAAAAGGTCTTCCTCTACTCGGATCAGGGTGTCAATTTTTTCTACACTTTTCGGTGTATTTTGTGCATGAATATGCAATAAAATCTTCTGCCGAAAAAAATTTAATTTTTTTGGTACGTTTTTTATGCTTTTGGATGCGTTTTTGGTTATAAAAAAGGTCTTCCTCTACTCGGATCAGGGTGTCAATTTTTTTCTACACTTTTCGGTGTATTTTGTGCATGAATATGCAATAAAATCTTCTGCCTAAGAAAAATTGAATTCTTTTGGTACGTTTTTTATGCTTTTGGATGCGTTTTTGGTCATAAAAAAGGTCTTCCTCTACTCGGATCAGAGTGTCAATTTTTTTCTACACTTTTCGGTGTATTTTGTGCATGAATATGCAATAAAATTTTCTGCCTAAGAAAAATTTAATTTTTTTGGTACGATTTTTATGCTTTTGGATCCGTTTTTGGTCATAAAAAAGGTCTTCCTCTACTCGGATTGGGCTGTCAATTTTTTTCTACACTTTTCGGTGTATTTTACGCAAGAAATTGCAATAAAATCTTCTGCCTAAGAAAAATTGAATTTTTTTGGTACGTTTTTTATGCTTTTGGATGCGTTTTTGGTCATAAAAAAGGTCTTCCTCTACTCGGATCGGGCTGTCAATTTTTTTCTACACTTTTCGGTGTATTTTACGCAAGAAATTGCAATAAAATCGTCTGCCTAAGAAAAATTGAATTTCTTTGGTACGTTTTTTATGCTTTTGGATGCGTTTTTGGTCATAAAAAAGGTCTTCCTCTACTCGGATCAGGGTGTCAATTTTTTTCTACACTTTTCGGTGTATTTTGTGCATGAATATGCAATAAAATCTTCTGCCTAAGAAAAATTTAATTTTTTTGGTACGTTTTTTATGCTTTTGGATGCGTTTTTGGTCATAAAAAAGGTCTTCCTCTACTCGGATCAGGGTGTCAATTTTTTTCTACACTTTTCGGTGTATTTTGTGCATGAATATGCAATAAAATCTTCTGCCTAAGAAAAATTTAATTTTTTTGGTACGATTTTTATGCTTTTGGATGCGTTTTTGGTCATAAAAAAGGTCTTCCTCTAATCGAATCAGGGTGTCAATTTTTTTCTACACTTTTCGGTGTATTTTGTGCATGAATATGCAATAAAATCGTCTACATAAGAAAAATTGAATTTTTTGGTACGTTTTTTATGCTTTTGGATGCGTTTTTGGTCATAAAAAAGGTCTTCCTCTACTCGGATCGGGCTGTCAATTTTTTTCTACACTTTTCGGTGTATTTTACGCAAGAAATTGCAATAAAATCGTCTGCCTAAGAAAAATTGAATTTTTTTGGTACGTTTTTTATGCTTTTGGATGCGTTTTTGGTCATAAAAAAGGTCTTCCTCTACTCGGATCAGGGTGTCAATTTTTTTCTACACTTTTCGGTGTATTTTGTGCATGAATATGCAATAAAACCTTCTGCCTAAGAAAAATTGAATTTTTTTGGTACGTTTTTTATGCTTTTGGATGCGTTTTTGGTCATAAAAAAGGTCTTCCTCTACTCGGATCAGGGTGTCAATTTTTTCTACACTTTTCGGTGTATTTTGTGCATGAATATGCAATAAAATCTTCTGCCGAAGAAAAATTTAATTTTTTTGGTACGTTTTTTATGCTTTTGGATGCGTTTTTGGTTATAAAAAAGGTCTTCCTCTACTCGGATCAGGGTGTCAATTTTTTTCTACACTTTTCGGTGTATTTTGTGCATGAATATGCAATAAAATCTTCTGCCTAAGAAAAATTGAATTCTTTTGGTACGTTTTTTATGCTTTTGGATGCGTTTTTGGTCATAAAAAAGGTCTTCCTCTACTCGGATCAGGGTGTCAATTTTTTTCTACACTTTTCGGTGTATTTTGTGCATGAATATGCAATAAAATTTTCTGCCTAAGAAAAATTTAATTTTTTTGGTACGATTTTTATGCTTTTGGATCCGTTTTTGGTCATAAAAAAGGTCTTCCTCTACTCGGATTGGGCTGTCAATTTTTTTCTACACTTTTCGGTGTATTTTACGCAAGAAATTGCAATAAAATCTTCTGCCTAAGAAAAATTGAATTTTTTTGGTACGTTTTTTATGCTTTTGGATGCGTTTTTGGTCATAAAAAAGGTCTTCCTCTACTCGGATCGGGCTGTCAATTTTTTTCTACACTTTTCGGTGTATTTTACGCAAGAAATTGCAATAAAATCGTCTGCCTAAGAAAAATTGAATTTCTTTGGTACGTTTTTTATGCTTTTGGATGCGTTTTTGGTCATAAAAAAGGTCTTCCTCTACTCGGATCAGGGTGTCAATTTTTTTCTACACTTTTCGGTGTATTTTGTGCATGAATATGCAATAAAATCTTCTGCCTAAGAAAAATTTAATTTTTTTGGTACGTTTTTTATGCTTTTGGATGCGTTTTTGGTCATAAAAAAGGTCTTCCTCTACTCGGATCAGGGTGTCAATTTTTTTCTACACTTTTCGGTGTATTTTGTGCATGAATATGCAATAAAATCTTCTGCCTAAGAAAAATTTAATTTTTTTGGTACGATTTTTATGCTTTTGGATGCGTTTTTGGTCATAAAAAAGGTCTTCCTCTAATCGAATCAGGGTGTCAATTTTTTTCTACACTTTTCGGTGTATTTTGTGCATGAATATGCAATAAAATCGTCTACATAAGAAAAATTGAATTTTTTGGTACGTTTTTTATGCTTTTGGATGCGTTTTTGGTCATAAAAAAGGTCTTCCTCTACTCGGATCGGGCTGTCAATTTTTTTCTACACTTTTCGGTGTATTTTACGCAAGAAATTGCAATAAAATCGTCTGCCTAAGAAAAATTGAATTTTTTTGGTACGTTTTTTATGCTTTTGGATGCGTTTTTGGTCATAAAAAAGGTCTTCCTCTACTCGGATCAGGGTGTCATTTTTTTTCTACACTTTTCGGTGTATTTTACGCAAGAAATTGCAATAAAATCGTCTGCCTAAGAAAAATTGAATTTTTTTGGTACGTTTTTTATGCTTTTGGATGCGTTTTTGGTCATAAAAAAGGTCTTCCTCTACTCGGATCAGGGTGTCAATTTTTTCTACACTTTTCGGTGTATTTTGTGCATGAATATGCAATAAAATCTTCTGCCGAAGAAAAATTTAATTTTTTTGGTACGTTTTTTATGCTTTTGGATGCGTTTTTGGTTATAAAAAAGGTCTTCCTCTACTCGGATCAGGGTGTCAATTTTTTTCTACACTTTTCGGTGTATTTTGTGCATGAATATGCAATAAAATCTTCTGCCTAAAAAAAATTGAATTCTTTTGGTACGTTTTTTATGCTTTTGGATGCGTTTTTGGTCATAAAAAAGGTCTTCCTCTACTCGGATCAGGGTGTCAA